TTTTTTTAATTAAGGTTTCAATACAAAATTTCAAGTGGATCTCATAAAAATCATAGAAATCATAGTATGTGTTAAAATATATTTAAATACATTTTAAAAATATATTTGACATAAAGTAATATTTTTTTTATGATTAATTTTGATAAGTTAATTTTAAAAATAACTTATTTAAATACTTTAAAATAATGTTTTTAAAAATACCCCAAAAAGTTTGGCTTAATTACATGGCTAAAGTTCAGATTGTTAATTCTTATATTATATCACAAAAATAGGAATAGACAACAATACCCCTCAGGCGTGACTTAAGGTCGGCACGGATTAGGGTTTCTGAAGCCCTCAAAACCCTGTGCCTATAAAATCTAAAGACACCCCTTTTATCTCTCTCGAAAACCCTCTCGACAATATTCGGCTATCAGAAAAAGAGACCCACAAGGAAACAGAACCCTGATCCAAGATGAGAGCTAAGGTAATTTCCTCTGCATAATCCCGTGTTTTGTTTAGATAATCTAGTGTGGTAGATGCATTGAGTATCTATCATGTTTGCTTAAATCTCTGCTCCAAGTTCCATTTATTTTGTCTCTTTTTTATTGTTGGAGAAGTTCTTTTTAATCCTGTAATCTGGGGTTTTAGGTTTTTGGCTATATGATACAAATATACGTGTTCTTTTTTATTCTAAAACTTGTGGTTTGTTGGGTTACAACAATACTGGTTTTGCTTTCCTTTCTTTATGCCCAAGAAATTGTCAATAATGTTAAAGACACTATTTTTATGCTATTTTGAGTTTGCTTTACAATTGTTTTTTTTTTTAATTTTGGTGGTTTTAGCTCTTTTTTTTTTCTTGTGTAATTTGTTTTGTTTGATTTAAAATCTACTGAAGCTGTCAAAATCTGGTATGTAGTCATACATGTAATGGGTTTTCGTGTTTGTGACAGTAGCTGTGTTTGTAGAGGAAAATTTGGCTGATGGAATTTGAATGTTTTCCAATAATGTTAAACTAGCTAGAGGAGTCTGTTTTAGAAGTTAGTTGTGCTGTTATTTTGGTGAATGTGCCAATGGAGAATAGGCAATTTCTATAATCATAGTTCCTTCAAGTTACAAACTAGTAAATAGATAGCTAGTTGGAGGAATCTGTTTTAGAAGTTGGTCGTGCTATTATTATAGTGCCTTCAACCTACAAAATAGTAAATAGGTTATAATTCATCTCACCACTCAGCAACTTAGCTAATTATCATGTAATTATGCTAGTTACTAATGTTATTGTGGAATTACAACTCAGAATGTACATTGTTACCTTAAAAAAATTTAATAACAAATTAGAATAATTTTAATAAAAAAAAGTTACAGGGAATAAAAAAAATACTATTTAAGCTGTAGAGAAACTATTTTTGAGTGACAAGCTAGTAAGTATTTATATTATTTCATTGTAAATATTTTATTATGTTAATTTGAAGACACTATAATGATAATGCCTTTAAGTAACCATAGCAAGCCTTGATATTAACTGTTTTGTTGTTTTTGTTCTTTTCAGTGGAAGAAGAAGCGTATGAGGAGGTTGAAGAGGAAGCGCAGAAAGATGAGACAGAGATCCAAGTAAGCTGTGGACTTGGACAGGATGGAGCTTTCTGCTGGTATATGTCTTTGATTGCCGGTGGCTTTGTGCTGCATGAAGCTGCGAGAATGAAGGATGTGTATTAGGGAAATACTTCATTTGTTTCATCATCTAGGGTTTTAAGACCTGTTTCTGCAACTAGTCTTCTGTTGGCTTAAATTTTGTGTTGTATTTGACTCGCTTTTGTCTTTAATATTACTTATGAATGGAAATCACCGAAACTTGTTCAATCTAATACAGTGATCTTTCATAGATGTGTTTAATCATGGTTTAGATCTTTCTGATGTGGACCTCGGAATGCACTAGGCAGCATCCACTTGCTACCTCGTGGGGTTTTAGTAGAATTACAGGGAATGTGAGGTGCGGCATTGGAAAGTTTTTTAGCCATTATGCCTTGGAATATCATCATGTTGATTCATCTCTACTGAATTGAGATTCCTGTTATTTGGTATCTAGTAATTTCAAGGATTGTTCACTGTCTCGTGGATTCACGATGAGTTAAGCTGTTCGAGGTTATGGCTTGTGTTAGCCACAATAAATGTTCAAGCAATGCTTGCAAACGTTCATAGCTAGGTAAATGATTTCATTTGCTAACAGCCAAACAAGGGATTCGAGTTTTATATTATGTAACTACTGCCTGTGGAGATCAAACGGTGGATCTATTTTGTAGAATGCTTTTCCAGTTTTTCTACCTCAGTAAATGGAATTGCGAAATCTGAACAAAAGCAATGTCAGCTTCTAAATTCGTTTTCCTTACCACTATGATGAGGGAGTAGAGAGCCTGAATGAGTCTTGCCTGAGTTCTGCTTTGAATAAGACGAAGGGTGATTTCGCTTGATTACCTTGATGACCAGCTGTGGTAAAATGGCAAGTAAATGAACGACGCGCACACATAAACAAATTAGGGTGAAGGGGTCAGGGTGGCTGCTATGATACACGCTCTCAGGCTGCACGGCAGAGCAATTTACATCAACAGAAATGACACAAAATCAGGTACAGAACCTTGCAAAAATTTACAGGTCAACCAGGATCACACACTGCATCCAATAAATAAGCTGAGATACATCATTTTCGATTATGAGCGAAAAACCCAAGTCAGAATGAGTAATTTATACAATCATATGCCACATCAATCATGAGAATCAACTTGTACAGCATAAAACAAAGATGCAAGTTTTCTGCGCAATTTTCAGCTCACTGAACCAAGGGTGAAGTAAATATAGGAATAGGACTACATAGTCAAGAATCCTTGTGCTTGAACCTGTGCTCCTTCCTTGTGCTCAAAACATTCAACACAAACCATTGCTGTGGCTGTCTATTTCGTTTTCAATACGCAGGATCCTTGATTCCCCAGTCTTGATCGGAAGGTAAGGGTATGAATTTCTGATGAAGCATGGGCATTAGTATAGGTGAGCACCCCGTTGTCTTCTCAACTTATCTTCATTCCATGTTCCCTTGCTTGTTTCTAATCAGGATGATGCACGTAGTTTTATACCGGTAAACCCTTGAGGTTGTATTGCATAACAAGTCTTTCTACTGTATTTCGTCTCATGACTTGTCTAATGTACAACTCTTTTAAAACTTCTGCTGCTAACTCTTTTTCTTCTTCATGGGCAATCCCTTCTACTAAAATAGTATAAGTTGTTTCATTAGGTGTGTATCCTTTCAAAACCATCATCTCAAAAATCTCCAAGGACAAATCTGTTCTACCAGATTTACAAAACCCAAGAATAAGAGCATTGAAATTGCCAAGAATAGGCCTATAGTCATTTTCTTCCAACAGCCTGAAAATCTCCAAGGCCTCGTCTAGCATTCCCTCAACACACAATCCTCTAATCAAAGATGAATAGGTATAAGGATCAGGAACAAATCCAGACTGTATCATCTCGTATAAAAGCTGAAATGCTGGATATGTGTTCCCTTTTCTACACAAGCTCGAAATCACACCTCTGTAGAAGTCATGGGTAGATGAATTTTGCTTATTACCCAAGCTTTGAATTATGGAGAATGCCCGTTGCACCCTTCCCCCCTCACAGAGCACAGCAATGGCATTAAACGTTCCATCATTGGGATTGCAGCAGTGATGAATCATTTGATCTAGACACTTAACCACAAGGTCTGCCTTCCCCTCTTTGCAAAGATGAGAAATTATAGGGTTGAAGGTTGCAGCAGAGGGCTTAAATGATGCCCTCATCATTTCATCCAAAACCTGAAATGCATGTTGAATCCTGCCATGGGAGGCAAGCGAACCAATTAGTATATTGTATGTGACCAGGGATGGTGAACGCTCCTCCGAGTCCATTTCAGCTACAAGCTCGTTTGCCTCTTCCCATCTTCCTTCACAGCACAAGCTCCTCAGTATAATATTACAGCTCACAACATTCGGATTAAATCCCTTTGACGGCAAATCCCTGAAGAACTGAATTGCCTCTTCCGTCCTACCTTCCTTGCATAATCCAGTTAATAAAACATTGTAACTAACCAAGTTAGGCTTCCCGCCCTTTGCAATTATCCCATCCAAAAGCTTCATCGCTTCATCCACACCTCTCTCCTTGTAAGCTGCTTCTAGCAAGAAAGAATGAGTGAATTCATTTGGGACCAACCCCTTTCGCATCAGCTTATCTAGTAACTGCAAGCTTTGATTCAAGTTTCCATGCATGCAAAGCCCTCTAACAAGCGAATTATAGGTAACCGTGTTGGTTGGATAGCCATTTTCCTCCATTTTCTCAACTAACTGCATTGCATACCCAATATTCCCTCTCTTACACAAATTGTTCACCAAAAAAGTATAAGAAGCTGCATCAGGAATAATACCAGACTCAATCATCATTTCCATCACCCTCGTCGCTTTCTTCATCTTATTCGACTTGCACAAATCATACAACAGCTGTGTTGCTTGAGCAACATCAGGTTTATGACCCTTTCTAACAATAAACTCCAAATGAAAAAATGCATCATTGAGCCTAATATCCCTATTTCTTGTGTCCTTCCTACCAACCTTCCAATTGGACAGTGTCCAAACAGAGTCTTTAGGGGAAATTGTAATCTGGGTTGATGCCAAAACTCTAGTGAAACCTTTGTTTTGTGAAAAAGAATGGAAATTTGGGACATTAGAGAATAACCCACAAGCTGTTCTTAGAGTCTCCGGAGAAGGGTTTGTTAAAGGAGACACTGAATTCACCAGAGTAGCCATTGCAAACAGATAGTAACAAGCAAAATTCAAGATTTCAGCTTGAAACCAAAAATATCAAAACTTGGTGGTTTCCTCAAGTGGTTAGATATTAAGACTTCAGATAAGGAGCAATAATGAGTCAAAAGGACGCGTCAAACATCGGAAAAAAAGAAAAACCTGAGAGAGAGATAGGGTTAACATACACTGAGGATCATCACCACTTGTTCCATGCAAAAAGTTTTGAGACCTTTTAAAGAAATGTTGAAGCACAAAGGTAGATTTTTATGTTTTTTTCTTACGTGTGTTGCTGTTCTTCTGGTCCAGTCCAGTCTAATTCAAGCCGTATATTTGGAGTCCTTCTGTTATCCTCCTCCAAGTGTTTTGCTTGCTGTAGATGATCCCATCAAAAACAAGAGAAATAAATAAATAAAGTCTTATTTTTTAAACTTCGTTCGTGTAGAGCAAGCGTTGTCGTTTACATGATGATTACTAGTCGTTTAGTCCCGCCCAGCTTTTGGACTGGGCTTGCCCTTAAAGCGTAGTTCACACCGCGTTTTAAAACTGTTTTTAAAAAAATTAAATTTAAGTTTTTAATTAAATTATTACATTCTCAAGTAAATATTAATTATTACAAAAAAAATATTACATCATCAAAATTATTAATTAAAATGATATTATTTTAAAATTTTCTTCAATTAATTTTAAGTTTTCAGTTAAATTAAATTAAATATTAAAAGGATAAAATCCATTTAATTCTAATTTATTTAAAACAAATCCAATCTCGATTTTGGCAAATCAATAATAATAATAATAAATATCACATTATTTGAATCATATATAAATATTTTAAAATATTTTTTAATTATAAATATATTAAAAAATTATTTTTATTTTTTTTAAAAAATTATTTTTAATATCAATATATTAAAATTAATTTATATTTCTTACCGTTTGTGTCAATAATTCTAATTATATTTTTTAATGCTTACACCCACCCTTTTCATCTTAATCACTAAACTTCCTTCTTATATATGAATTTGTTTGTCGATTTTTTAGAGACTGATCAAAAGTAAAATAAATTAGAAAAAAAAAAAGAAGCTATTTTTGAGGAGACTTGTAGGAGAAGAAAAAAGATAAAAAAGGACAGAGTGGTGACGACTTACGCGAAGCAAGTTGCGGCGGTGGTCGGTGTTTTCTGCCGGCTAACTATGAGTATGACATTGCATTGCAGCAAGCAGCTAAATCATCATTAAAAACAAAAAGAAAACCCACAAATTCACTGTAATTTATTTATCTATTTATTCTCTCTAAATTTTACATCTTTGTTTTCAAAAACAAAAACAAAATGAGATCTTCAAAACAAGCAGCGGCGGCGGGGGCGGCGGGGGGAGCAGAAAAAAGGGG